GATGTATCACCTAGAGACTCCAAAGAACGATGTGAGCTCACCCATCATGTTCGACTTGAAGAGCGAAGGTGGAGATAGCTGGATCTACGACGACAACTACAAGATCAACACAGTGTACTTCGCTCTGGGAGATGAGTCTGACTTTGATAAGTCCCCATGTTCTTTGGACAAGACTGGAAGGTGGCTGCAAGACGTCAAGGTGATTCGCTATGCCATCCAGGAGGCCGAACTTGAGAAAGTCGAAAAGTTTCAGATTTGCACTGTGAGTGAAGGCTCTTCCAGGACCCTCATTGTCCTTGACTCTGGCGCGGACATCAGCCTACTCCCTCAGTCGATGGCTGGTTGTGGTCGACCTAGCGGTTCAGGAAGAGCAGTGCTTGAAGACGCCCAAGGTGGACGCCTCATGACATATGGCAAGAAGCTGGCTCAAATTGAGTGTGATGGAGAGCAAGAAGTGGTGGTCATAGAAGATGACTTCGTGGTAGCTTCAGTTCAGTGCCCTCTGATCAGCCTTGGACGGCTGTTGCAACGAGGATGGAGGCTGACACCAGGATCTGGAGAAGCAGGAGTCAACCTACAGGCCCCAGATGGTGCATGCTCTGTTCCCTTGCGCTTCAAAAGAAATTCCTTGGCCTTGTATGGGACGATCAGCAGAGTTTGTCAAGAGCCAGGAGAACTTTGTGGAGGTGAAGCTTCGAAGTCTTTGGATGACAACGAGGTGCTAGTGGTCCGTGTTGTGCTGAAGTTGAACGATGACTTTTGGACCCACTATGGACTTCGAGCCTGGCGGACAACGAAAGATGGCAATCCCATGAAGTTTTGCTATGAGACCAAGAATTTCGTAGATGGTCAACTCATGTGGAACTTGAATTGGTGGCCTTTGAGATCCACTTTGATCCGCAAGATGGACGACGCCTGGGAGTTGGTGGAACACTGCAACAGGTACTATACTCAGGAGGAGCCTGATGCAGAGATCCCTGAGTGTTGTGGGATGGAAACCCAGACTTTGACCATCCTGCACAGAAAGAAGGAGCCAATTGCATTCTTTGGCAGTGTGATTGGAGAGCAGACGGTGACGGCAGGAGGAACTCAGGTTGACAGCAACGACTTCCAGTTTTCTTCAGAGCCCGGTGTTCCTTTTGAACTTCAGGAGCAGCAAAAAGTCACTTCAGAAGAGGTTGACCAGCAAGATGGAGAAGGAGATCCATGGAGTGGCCCAATCCCCATGTTCGAGAACAAGAATCATTGGTGGTCAACCATGCTGAGTTGAATGAAAAGAGTCCGTTGATGGCTTTGAGAGAGGCTGCGGAATTCCTTGGAGTTGGACGTGGAGGCTCAAAGAATGCCTTGTGGACTCGCATCAATCAAGAGGTCCAGAAGATGGAGCACAAGGAGCTGTTCACCACAGCTAACCGGCTGTTTCGCGAGCAGAACAAGCACAAAGGCCTTGTCCCAGTCCATGTTCCTCGACAACCCAGTGCAGAGGAACGAGAGCTTCATGAGCTGACACACATTCCATTTCAGGATTGGTGTGATTTCTGCTTGGCATGCAAGAGCAGAGTTGACCCGCAGAGACCCCTCGATGGTTCAGAGGCTGGCAGGCGATCAGTTCCTGGAATTCAGCTGCACTATGCATTTGGCAAGTCGAGACCGGATGAAGTCAATAAGAATGTCGAGCTGGTGACAGTCCTCACAGGTGTTGATTGTGAGACCAGGATGCTGCTCTGTGTTCCGGTAGAAGGGAAAGGCTCAGATCTTCGAGGCCAAGCTGAACATGTGGTGCGCTTTTCTTTGTCTCTCAACCACTATGGCAATGTTGAAGTGGTTGGAGACAGCGAACCAACCATGAAAGCTCTTCTGACCTACGTGAAGACTTTGAGGCATGGTTTGGGGCTTGAGACAACGATCACGTTCAGCATGAAGAAAGGCCAGACTGGAAGAGTCGAACGGGCAATCCAAGCCCTTCGACGACAAGCATCCACTCTCATGGAGATGCTTCAAGATAAGTGCAAGCTGAACTTGCCCAGTGAGCATCCTTTGTGGCAATGGGCATATCTGCATGCTGCATGGTTGTTGAACCGATTCGGAGCTCATCGAGCCATCCAAGCTGCACCTTTTGAGATTGCCTTTGGACGAAGGTACATTGGCAAGGTTGTTTGCTTTGGCGAGTATGTCATGGTTCTCAACAAGCAGCCAGGGGCAAAACAAGGACCTCAGTGGTTGCCTGGAGTGTGGGTTGGCAAGACAAGTGAGGATGATCTACACCTGGTCATTGGGAGCACAGGACTTTTGAGAGGCAAAGCGATCAGGAGGACAAGTGAACCCTGGAGGTCGGTGTATGTATTCCTGGTGAAGACCAAGCCATACCGAAATCCCAATGTCAGGAGACCTATGAGGTTGATGCCGGCTACACCTATGGTTCCACGAGGTGTTCGAGGCCCCGGAAGGAAAGCTCAGACAAGCGGCTTGGAAACTCCAGCAGTTGGTCAAGGAGGAGAACACGAGTTCATGCAGGACAAAGATGCTGATGATGTGGAGCGGTACGCTCAAGAGCATCAAGGAAATGAAAGTCCAGCAAGTGAGAGTAAAGGTGAGAAGAGAGGACATGAAGGAGAACCTGCAGATGAACCCGCTGAGAAATATCTTCGTGTTCCTCCTCTCCCACTTGGACTAGATGAGGATGATGTTGGACAAAGGAGGCCAAACACACCTGAAGTGAAACTTCCTCTCACTCCTCGTCGTGAAGACCAGGTTCTGGATGATTCTGAGGCTCGTGAACCCAGATTGAAAGCAGCACGATCTCATCCAGAGAGCAGTCCCTCAGCAGGCTTATACCCTCCTCAGTATGCCGGGAACATCAGCAGAATCTATGTGAATGATGTGCACTACCCGGTGAATGATGAAGCGTGGGAAGAAGAGGTTGAATCCTACATCGAGGCCGATGATGTTGAGGAATGGCCAACAGTTGAGCTTGAAGAAGACATTGATGAAGGACATCCGCCTGAAGTGAGTCCAGAGGAGCTCAAGATCATCGAGGAGGCAGCAGGCCAAGAGGAGATAGAACGCCTGTTGAAGATGAAGGTGTTGGAAGATCCCACGGAAGAGGAGTTGGAGAAGGGAAGCATCCTGACCACACGGTCGGTGTATGACTGGCGTGTCCGTGAGAAACGCTGGAAGAGGAGGTGTCGCTTCGTGGCAAGAGAGTTCAGAGGTGGAGACGCTTCAAGTTCGAAGACCTTTGCACCTACGTCTTCATTGAGTGCCACGAGGTTGCTTCTTTCAACCCATGTCCTTTTGGGGTGGAAAGTGATGTTTGCTGACATCAAAGATGCCTTCCTTTTGGTCAGCCAGACAAAGTTGGTGCTTGTGGAACAACCTTCTTGGTGGAAGCCAGAGGAGCTCAGAAACCTGAGGCCAGGAGAAAAGAGGTACTGGAAGCTTTCCAAATGTCTTCCTGGACAACGTGATGCTGCAGCAAAGTGGTTTGAGTTTTTGACGGCTCATTTGATTGAGTGGGGGTTCCAAAACCACATGAGTCTACCCTCATTGTTCAGACATGAGCACCGAGAACTTGCAGCAGTTTGTCACGTGGACGACCTCATCATAGCTGGAAAGGTGGAGCGCCTAGAATGGCTTTCAGAGGCGATGAAGAAGAAATTTGTGATCAGCGAATCTGGCATTTTGCCAACGGATCACCAGGCAGAGGATGAGGCGGTCCGGTGTCTTAAGAAGCGCCACTTTTTCACAGGTGCTGGAGTGGTGATCATGCCACATGAGAAGTATATCCCCAACCTCTTGCAGCTCTATCAGCTGGACAAGCGAGCAGGCAAAGCAACTCCAGAAAGTGGCCAAGAGAACTTGGAAGGATCACCAGATGAGATCCTTGAGGGTGCTGACCAGTTCAGGTTCAGATCAGCCTTAGGCACTCTCCTCTACATCAGCCAGGATCGTGTTGACATCCAACATGCAGTTCGAAACCTCAGCCAATTCATGGCCCGACCAACGCAGCGAGCAGAGTCAGAGGTGAAGCATGTCATTTTGTACCTCAAGCGGACAGAAGGCTATGGTTTGTTGCTACCTCACTGCAACTACCGCAGCAAGAAGGCCGAGATTTTGGGACAGGTGGAGGATGAAGGAAGAGAGGATTTGTTGGAGGTGTTTTCTGACTCCGACTGGGCTGGTGACAAGAGCAGCGCCAACCGGAGGCGGCACAGCGTAAGTTCAGTCTTCCTGTTCCTCAACGGCTGTTTGGTGACCAGTTGGTCGAGGTCCCAAAAGTCCATAGCCCTCAGCTCATGTGAGGCCGAGTTTTTGGTTTCAGCTGGAGGTGTTGCAGAGGCGATCCAAGTGAAGGACTTGTGGCAGTTCCTTAGCCGGAGGCCTGTGCTGATCAAGGCCGTGACAGACAGCAGCTCATGCCGTGCCTTTGCTGAGCGGCTTGGTGTTGGACGCCTCAAGCACATAGACATCAAGTACCTCTGGATGCAGCTTGAGATCAAGAAGGACACGATGGTCATGGAGGGAATTCCGACTCTCCTCAATATTGGCACAAAGCGCCTTACAAGACAAAGGCGGGAGTTCCTAATGTATCTCATTGGGATCATGGAGATGAACGCTGAAGGCAAAGAGGAGACCTTTTCCAAGGTGGGTGAAGACACATTCCACCAGGAGCTGGAGAAGAAGATGCTGGCAAAGCAAATGAAGGAAGTCAAGAAGCAGATGATCCAGACAGTGGTGGAGGAGAAGAGTAGTTGGGGATTGAAAATCCCTACGGCCTTGGTAAGAGCTGTGACCTTGCTCCTGTTGCAGCAGAAGGTTGGAGGAGAACAGGTGGAAGAAGTCGCAGATGGCAAGGCACCAGAGGAGACCTACAGCTGGTGGTGCATGATCAAGATGGTGACCATCTACTCGATCTTCGTGTTCCTCTACGGTGTCTACTGTGGCTATCGATACCGAGTGAAGTGGTCGGTATACCTGAGAACCTTCCTTCGGTTTTTGAGGCAAGAGGAGACCATGGAGTTCCAGAGACAGCAGGACGAGTTTGCCGAGATCGGAATGATCATGAGGGCAAGGCTGGCAGCCAACAGAGGAGAATGGAACTTGGTGAGAAGAGGACGAAACCTTCCGGCACCCTTGCAACGCCCAGAAGGTGAAGTTCCAGAGAATGAGAGGCCAGAGGAGGAGATGACAACCTCAGTTGAGCGAAGTCGACCTGAAGAGCCAAGTCCAGTAGCAGAGGATGCAGATGAGAGTGAGCCTGATGAGGAGATGTCAGATGGAGGTGGAGAGACAGAGCTCCAACAACGAACGGCTGGGCACATCATCACGGACTGGGATCCCATGACCGGCACCTTGGCGGACTACCGGGTGCTACAAGCTGAAGATGAAGCTTTCAGCGGTGAGGAGTACTTCATGGGCAACCCGGTCAGCGGGTACCACAGGTACTATAAGCCCACAGCCTCGGAGCGAGAGGACCCGAGTTTCGTGAACGATGCTGCACCTCCTAGCTACATGGATGTGGATGAACCTCAGCCGGTGGAGAACTACAATGAGGCAGCTGAGGACCCGAACAACAGGTCGGCCTTTGAACCTCCGCCGGTCGATGGTGACTGGTGGGACTTCGAGACCCTGTTCAAGTACATGAAGTTACATGAAGCGAGAAGAGGAACCCAGGGCTCGACGCGTGTTGGAAGCTGGATTGTTTAGCACAAACCAGCTAAAGGAGTTCATCCGAACACGCCTGGCCTCGATCTACAGCAGGACCTACACGCACATGTGCTTCGACCACATTGTCCAGTGGTCCCTGGACGAGAAGCACGACTACAGCTTGTTCTGCAAGATTGTGATCATGGGAGATTGGGCCGAAGACTTCGACAGGTTTTCGCGGCTCTACCTTGAGAGTTTGAGGTGAAAATGATGCTAGAGCGCATCACTTTCAAGGTGGAGTGTAAGAACTTTCTAGGGCAGACATGACCCTTTCGCACTGCAGTGGCCCAAGCTAGGAAAACAGGCGGCCGCGTGTGTTCGTTTTTGTTTGAGTCTTGGTCTGCGTCAGCAGTACTCATTCAGGGAGTCGCAATGCTGTGAACTTGGTTTCACCTGCCATACAGGTCGAATGCGTTTTTCAAATCTTGCTGGATGTCTGGTCGATCTTGCGCCACGTAAATTGCTAGGCCAAGCCCTGCTCGGAAAATCAGTTCGGCGTTTGGTCGTTTTGTTGTCCTTGATCTCGTCCTTGCTTCAGACCTCCAGGTTCAAGTGGCTCTTTGCCTTCTTTCCTGCCAACTCTAAGAGCTCAACCATCTCCTTGATGTATCGAGGGATTCATGGTTGGATGAAAATTCCGTGCCTTGCCGACATCACTTTCTTCTTCAGCTAGTACGGTGTCACCACTGCCAAACTAGTACGAACCTTCTGAGACTCATTGTCAAGTGTGTCCTCGCCATAGCGCTGAACCTCGTCCAGTCTGTGGAGTTGCGCGTCACCAAAGTCCACATGGATCATCATGAAAATTATTCTCTCCACATGCTTGAAGACAGCAGGCTGAGCCATGTGGTTGTTGGTCTTCTGAAACACACACCGGCTCCCTTTTTTCCAGGAATGCTTGGGTGACTGGAGCCAGTTGGACACGTGCATGCCACCGAAAAAGTCGCACGGTCTCGCAAGATCTTTTTCTCGGACCCCGCCGTACCTGGCAAATTTGCCAACATGGTGCCAACATTTGTCTTCTCACTGGGAGCTCCGCTTCTGAACGCCGTGTCGATGAGCACGCAGCTGTCCGCATGGCTGGAATCGCCACAAAAAGGACTGAATCAAAGCGGTGGATTGAGCATCTTCTGGGTGGCTCCCACCATTTGTTTTCCACTCTTAAGACCAATCAAACTTCATTGACCAGCATCCCAAACACGCTGAAATCAGTGAGCACGCGTTGAAGAAAAGAGACCGCAGAGGCTGCGGATGCTTCATTGCCGCGTGGTCAAGGTTTCAAAAAAGCATTGCCTTGTTTTTTCTGTGAGGCGGAGTTTTGTTCTTTGCAATTTGGAGGCTGAAGCGTGTTGACGCCTTAAACAGAAAGAAGGTTGGAATCAGGTTTGCGAAAGGTTTAGGTGTCAGAGGCGCTTTCAGCAATTGTCAAGACGATACACTCGCCGTTTTCCACTTTGTTCGATTTCAAATCAAGTGTCTTGAACACAAACACAGCTCCACCATGCAAAAACATGTTTTTGGCCCTTTGCGCATTTTGGCCCGTGCTGCAAGCTTGCGCTGGCCATGTTGTGCCTGCTTGAGGCAAAGTCAGTTTTTTTTCACATTCTTGCCGGTCAACTGTCCTCAGAAAGTCCAAGTCAGTCAAGTACATGATAGTGTTGCGTTTTCAATTTCCAAGATTGTTTTTTTGTGCAACGTTTGGAGATGGGTTGAAAACTGCACATGTTTGGAATGGATTCTGCAGACAGAGGATCAGTTTGGCAGCGTGACATGTGCACTACAAAGCTGACGACGTTCGCCTGGACAAATTTCATAATTTTCAGAAATTCCGATAAAGACCCATTTTGCATCAGGCCTATGTGAAGCGTTGGGCCAGTTCGAGCCTTATCAAGGGAAGGTTTTGAATGTTTTGATCGTTTGTGCACTTGATCCATCGACAGGAAAGACCAGCAACGAATGAAACATGGATGTTTGTTTAGCCTCAAAGATGGACTGAGATTTGTCCCACGACTGATGGGCTTGGAAGATGCTTGAACTGCGAACAGGTGTGACACTTCCGCTATAGCTTTGAGTTGGAATGCCAGAGTCAAGCCTTGGGCAGGTCACAACCAAGATGAATTCTTTCCAGCACTGTGCTTAATGCCTCAATTGAGTACATGTTTGAAGAACTAGAAGGGGTTTAAAACATTCCCTGTGTGGCCATTAACCTTTACAATCGCAGATTTTGATGACACACACACACACACGTTGTGCTTTTTAGTCCATATCGTTTCGACTCCAATCGTGAGTGTTGCCAAGTTTGGAAATATGTGTGCGATCATCATTTGCTGTCTGGCAGCTCTTTTGATTAGGCCAGGAACTTAACAATTTTACACAACGTTCTTCATCAGCCTTGCTTCTCAAATTGAACCGCTGTTTATGTCAGCTTTGTTTTTCAAATCAAGCAGCCCTGATGGTTGGTCATCTCAGGCGTGTTGATCATCCGAGAGCCAAAGCACCTTGGCAGTTGAAGATGCATGCAATGTACATTTTGAAACTTTGATGTTTTGGGTAAATTGCTAGTGAGAGCTTTTGAATGTCGTTCTTGAGGTGCCAGAGACCTGGATGAAGAGCCTGCTCTATGAGCTCAAAGAGATTTGTGCCAGCTTGCACAGTTGAAAATTCCCTTTACAGACTAACTGTGTCAAAATTGAAATACACTCGTTGTTTTGCTCGAGCAAAAAAAATATGGGCCAACAGATGCATGACTGATTGTCCGACTGACCCAACGAATGAACAAGCAATTGAATGAATGAATGAATGAATGAATGAAGGAGGGAAGGAAGGAGGGAAGGAAGGAAGGAAGGAAGCAAGCAAGCAAGCAAGCAAGCAAGGAAGGAAGGAAGGAAGGAAGGAATCAATGAACAATACATGTGCATATGTGTCGAGTGTGCAGTGAGCCCTATGTTGCATTTCTTGCCGCCTGCACCAAGGCTAAACTCCAGGACAGCTGGTCGGTGCTTTCACAAGCTGGTGTTGACAAGGCTAAGTTCCAAATCAGCTTTTTGGACAAACCAACTAGTTTGCACGTATCCAGTCCATTGATGCAAAAGTTCAGCCAATTGAAGTGATGCTGATAACGTACTTGTTCAAGTCGTGCATCACTAGCATTTGATTGGAGGGCTACACAACGTTAAGGAATGAAGTCTCGACCAATCAAGGCTCCAGACCCAGTGTTTTCGACAGGTAGGTGCAGCACTGAAGGCCATTCATACAGCTCGATTTGCAGTTGTGTGGCTCAGCAACTTGGGGGACGATGTCCATTTCTAGAAAAGACATACCAAGACCAAGACCTGATTCTTGTGTGCATCACGTGTAGACATTAGAAGAACATGAATTCGCTCCCAGAGGCAGGACTTGCGCTTGTGAAGGGCACCATCACGGGGTCTGGTGAGTTGCGCACTTTGCTAGCTGCACTGAAATGAAATTTGGCACTTCAGACGGCCTTTAGCATGAGGCCACTCAGATCTTGCAAATGGACAACTTTTTTGTCTGCACCGCACTTACTGGTGCGTGCAAAGCGCGCCTGATGTGCATTTTACAACATACTTCTCAGGCATTCTCCAGAACTGGAAGCCGGGACCTTGGCAAAGGTTTCGAAGATGCATCGCATCGCTAGGGTGCTAGCCAGGGTTTGATTCAATGGCAACTGTGCTGCCCACATGTGTTTTGTCACCTGAGAGGTGAAGCTCAACCAACAGCTGTTCTGGAGGTTGGTAGAGACAGCCAAGTGAAAGCAATATTGCTTGAAAGAAATGAGTAATGCAAAAAGCACAGAATGAATTGTTCACGGACTAGCTTTCGATGTTATCTGAGGTGAATGGTACCCATGCCCACGTTCCAAAGCAAATAGGTGACCAGCAGGTGTTGCAAACTACGGCTTGGTGCTCAAAACCACGCCATCATGCTGAGAGGAACACTTGCAAGTAAACACTTCGGCAGAGGAACCTTTTGCCTCGCAAGACCAGCATTAATTTGACCAAGGCAGGCAAAAGGAAACGAAAAGCAAAGAAGGCTGGCAACTCTGTATGGAGTACAAAGCAAAATACGAGCATTCAAATTCAACAAGTATTTTTGTATTGTAAGCGTAGCATATATATATATATATTAATATAGAGTGCAGATTTTACGTATGCACTGAGTGTGGTCTTGGTGTCAGGCCAAAGAAGCCGAAGCAATCCTTGACAAGGACTTCAGCTTGTCGAATTTTCTTGACTTTCGGCGCTTGGTTTTCACTCTTTCGGCTCTCACCTTGCTTTTGTGCGCTGTAGCTTTGGGCCCTTGATTTGGCATTTGGCCCGTCCTTCAAGTGAGATGTCCTCTTTGCGAGTTTTTGGCCGCAGAGCCGCCTTTGTGATGCTGGCGTTTCCGAATCTTGGGATGAAAGACACGATGGAAGCTCTTCACATGAGAGTGGATTTAGGGAGTTTTGTGAACAAACTTCCGAGTTACAATAATGCGATGCATGAAGACCAGGATGTGGCTTGGCGGTCTGAGCTGTGTTTTTTGTGTTCTGAGCGTGCTGGTCACGGCTGTTCGAACCTTTGTTGAAGTGGACGTGAAGAGAATGTGATTGCACAATGGGCTCGAAGGGGTGAGGTAAAGATTTCTCGAGAAGTTTGGAAAACGAGCTTTTGAGAGACATAGAACAAGTAGAAAGAGAGAGAGAGAGAGAGAGAGTTAAGATTTTCAGAAAAAGAGGGAGCAGAGTAAAGAGACTCCCAAAGGAAAAAGCTCTACTAGAACAGTAGAAAGCAAGTAAGTAGAAAACACATTTGTTGCTTTCGCCAGTGAAGTGGTACATCGTCCCTGCTCGGTGAAGTGGTATATGTTGTCACGCGCCACATCCCTTGCCTTTCCCAGGGGTGTGGGGATTGTACAAAAGCATATCGGGAAGAAACGGCATCGACACCCCAAGGAGAAGTGGATCATCCCGGATGATCCAACACTGTACATTAATACTTGTGAAACACATGCAACTAGTTTAATTGTGTGGCAAGCAAATAGCAAAGAGGTTTCTTTCTATCGGTGGCATGGTAGATGTGTGTAATATATTTATGACTTTGTGCTCTTCACAAGACAACTCGCGGTAGAGTGGTAGCGGTGCAGGAGGAGGTTCAAAGTTTGTAATTCCCTCTATAAGCAGATAGGGGCATTTGTGTGCAAGGGCAAACTAGTTGCACCTTGTTATATATATATATAGAGGTGGGAATGAGTTTGTGCTTCATAAGCTTTTGCAAAGCTTTTAAACTTGCTGAAAGCTTTCTGCCTGCTTCATCAACAATCTTCGCTCTTTGGAAGGAGCTGTACTTCGGGTGATGAGTATTCCCCTTGGGTGTTGGGGTCTTTATGATCAAGACGCACCGGGAAGGGATGTCCCAAATATCAAGAAGGCGACATAATGACATATGACATGGTGAGTTCACACCATGTTATTCCTGGATCATATGGTGCTGTGGTGTCCTGGCCATCGCAGGGTTCGTAGAACTTGGAAAGCAACGCGATGAGTCCATGGCCACAGCGAAAGTACAAAAAGTGTGAATAGTAGGTCCAGGAGAGGGGAAGGCAAGGACTGAAAATCAAGAAACACATTTTTCATAAGGTCAATAGTTCACCTTAGCACCTCTCACTTCCTTGTCCTTGTCATTTTGTAAGGACTGTAGTTCATGCATGGCCTGTGTACGAGTTCTGGTTTGGTACGTGGTCACCGCTGGTGAAGATATTTTTGAGCGAGGTGGCATTTTTTTCCCATGGGAGAAGAATTCCGGCAACAAGCAGTGCAGAAGTGCAGACACCAAAAAACTGCGTTTGCAGGACAGTAGTGCTTCGACGGGTTTAATCCCAGACAAACTGACAGCAAATGCTTCCACCACATTGCATGCCTTGCGCACAGGTTCCCCTAGGCAGACAATTTTTGGACATTGACCGTGGCAGAGATTACTCTGTACAAAGATGGTGCAGACTCAATGCTGTGGTTGTTCTGACAGAAAAAGTTGTGCATGTTCTAGCTAAGGAGCTTCACTGCCAGCATTGAGGAGGCGTTCGGCCATCCTTTATTGCAGCATTTTGCGCTTGAAACCTGGCCTTAGGTTGACCATCCTCATTGCTGGCCATGTTTTGCACAATTTTTTCTGGGGTAAATAGAGTTGATGCATCCAAACAAAGATGCAGCCTGGCTTAGTATGTGTATGTATGTATGTATGTATGTATGTATGTATGTATGTATGTATGTGAAGAGGGTGCGTGTCTATTTGCCCAACTTAGAACAAGGAGCCAGGAAACTGACATGTCATGTCAATGTGCAGGTCATTGATTTTGCTTGGCTTGCTCTAAGGATATGAACTACACAAACCTGAACCACGGGTCATACGGAGCGACTCCAATCCCGGTGGTGAAAGCATTGAGAAAATGGCAAGAGGTGATGGAACACAATCCTGACCGCTGGTTTCGTTTTGACGGTTTTTGTCTTAGTCGAAAAGCACAGCCAGTTGCGTGTTGAATGAGAATCGCAGTAGTTTCATACATACAAGCCAAGCAGACATCAAACTTGTCACACTCCAAGGGGAAAAAACACTTATCGGAGCTCTTGACCATGTACGCTCTCGAGTTGCCGAGTACATCCAAGCAGATGCCAGAGATGTCGTTTTTGTTGATGGGGCATCAGGTGGTGTAAATGCCGTTCTGCGCTCTATCAAGCTTCCGCCTCATGCCTCTATTCTTTATTTGAATACAGCCTACCAGATGGTGAAGAATACAATCTTCTACATTAATGGTCAGCAGCAGGAAAGATCTGTGGAGGTAAACATTTCGCTGCCAAGTACTGCTAGTCAAATCTTGGCAGCAGTGAGGCAAGCTTTGGATCAAAACCCTTCTACGCTGCTCGCAAGCTTCAGTCATATTACAAGTATTCCCGCAGTTATTTTACCCGTGAAGGAGCTTGTGCAGATTTGCCACGAAAAGAATGTAATGGTCTTGATAGACGGGGCCCATGCCCTAGGCCAAATTGCACTGAACATTCCAGAAATTGGAGCAGACTTTTACGTGGCCAATGGTCACAAGTGGCTCTTTAGTCCTAAAGGGAGCGCAATTCTATGGGTTGCAAGGCATAGACAGCACTTAATTCATCCCAATGTGATCAATGATGAGGGAAGGGGCTCAAGCTTTTTCCAACTGCAGTTCTCCTACACTGGCACGAAGGACTACAGTGCCTTCTTGGCAATGTCTGCTGCTTTAGATTTTCGTGAGCAGATAGGTGGAGATGCTCAAATCAAGGAGTATGTGTCCAGACTGGCTTTAGAAGGAGGCAAGTACCTTGCGCAGACTCTTGGTACAGAGGGGCCGATGATATCAAGAGGTTTAGCGATGGTGAATGTACCGCTTCCACAGGCTGCGCTCAAGTGCTGCGACATGAACACTGCCAAACGGTTACTCGTCAAACACGGAACATTTGTGCCCATCTACCCCTGGCAGGGACAGTGTTTTGTCCGTGTTAGCGCGCAAGTTTACAACGAGATCTCTGATTTTATGTACCTGGCGAGGACACTGTTGGATGTTCTCAGCAACGACTGTCCTGAAGCTGCTGATTCGGCTTCAGTACAAAACTAGATCAAAGAGGACCAAAGAAGTCCAAATCCATACGGATTCTTGCGCAAAAACAAGAAGTGTATCGAACATATACTTATGTTTTCTTCTTCGCGAGCAACTATTCCTTCGTTGAGGCTGTTCCGTCGCCTTTGGATTTTTCAGTGGGTTTTTTCCTTCAGTGTGTGTTTTCGTTTGTTGTTCCCCCAAGGTAGCGAGAGCTATTGGGCTTCTTACTTCAGGTATAGGAGGGGGTGCCTGTGTGCGCTTTGGAGCCTGGATGGTGATGAGTGGCGCTGCAGAGTGCCGCTGCAGGATGCTGCTGCCAGATGTTTAGTGTGCGCTTTGGAGCCTCTATGCTCGTGTTGTTGCCATGATATCCCTGTCTGTTATCGCAATAGTTTTTCCTGTAGGTGAACCCCGCTTTTATATAAATTTATGGGCCGTTTGTGTTGCAAGGTCCAAGGTCAATGGCAGGAAAATATAACCGGACCAGCCTGGAAACATAGACTCCACACAGGATTTCATAAGCTGACCAAACAGGATTTTATAGGTAAGTTGTGTCTCAGTCACAGGATCTTAGAATGACATGCTTGGACAAAGCAGTTCCTGGACCGATCAACGCCGTTCCAGACTTGCGAGTGAGCTCCAGCATCCGCCGGAAATCATATTTCAGCGTTTTGGAAGAGTCGGTTGCGAAAGGGAAGAAGAAAGAAATAAGGACATACGTAGAAGAAAGACTAAAGACACAAGCACTCTTGACTGTCCTTCAGCCCAAAAAAATATATAAGGACTCCGGTTCGCACTCCAGGGAAATTTGTTGTCTGGCGCCATCCATGATGGTCCTTCACCGCCAGGAACATATAAAGAATTGCGTTTCATGACTCGGAGTGTCGGTACAGGAGTTCACAAACATTTGGAAATTGCATTCCCCAGGTTTTTTTTTGTATAAATCTAGTGGTTGCAAGTCACTGGGACAACCAAGCAAAATCATCCTGTTCACAATACCTTTTGCTTTTTGTGATTTATGCCGACGTATTCTTGCGTGGTATACAGGAGGATGCAACAGCTCAAAAGAATGAGTTCCGAGAAGATTTAGATCGGACAGTAGACCTAACCAGCTTAGTGGGAGCCCTGGATACGTTCACGTCTTGAACAAGTTGCCAAAAGTTGATGTTGGCAAGTATGAGGAGCAGCCACAGCAGATGCTTTGAGGTTTGGGATCGCGTTGGACTTCAAGAGTGCTCGGCGAGAGTTTCAGGAGCCCTGCTCATGCACGTTTGTTTTGTCATGCTGTAAAGCAACACAGCGAATATGCAGTGCCAGGCGACGTCCAACATGGGCGCTGCCTGTTCTCGACATGCTTGCCCAGCTTGCCGGTGCTGCAGGCAAACGACGTGTTTAGTTGTCACAGAAGCAAATTTGGAAGTCAGTTTAGCGATGCTCCAGGAGACTGGATGCACAGGATGCACCAGTGTGGAAGCGGCATGGTTGATGGCCTACACAAGGTCTGTGTGGAGCCCAGTCATGCAACTGTGTAGCTCATTCAGTGGCTGGATCTTGTTTTCAACACTGACATGAATCCATGTTGTCATTTGTCTACAGGGTGAAGGCCCAGACATGGAATTGATTTGATCGCCGCCGCCGCTTGTGCATTTGCGGCTCAATCGAAGGGTGTGGTTCCGGCTTTTAGCTGGAACGCACCTGCAACATGCAGCCTGACGCTTGGATGTGCTTGTTTGATTTTGCACTTTCTTATCAACCAGAAAGCATCCAAAATTCCAGCTTAAATCTGTTTCGTTCCTTTGTGCTACTGTTTGTTGATTGCAGGCTTGGCGCCAAAGTTCTTTCGCCGGTCCCAAACCCTCCACCGCGGTTGCGGGTAGTGCCCTGAGGTTTTGCGACCATAAAACGACTCTACTCAATTTGAAAGCCCTCAGCAGTTGTTGCTAAGTGGATAGTGACAGATAGTGACTGTGCATATGTTCTTACTTTTAATGGCAAGTAGCTTGGCTCTAGATGCTCTACTGTGTTACGTCATGCAACTTGGGAGGCAGACGGTCGACCCACGCCATTTTCTCAGATCGTTGGTGTCAGCAGAGCATTTTAATCAAGCTTTGAGATGTGCAACAACTTGCTGCTGGAGGCTGCGTTCGCAGATGACCACCATGTCAAAAATAGGTGGGCACGGGCAAGTAAGTGTTAGTTGGCAGCTACGATGGTCTGAAAGGAGGCTCTCAAGAGGTGCTGCCGATCCCTTGTCAAGTTTTGACGGTCCATGTAGAATCTGTACAATCTTTCTTTGATTTTCCACGCTCCGAAACAAAGCAGTTGAATGTTGCCTTCAAAAACATGTGGCAGAACACCTAGCTTATAGCTCACAAGCAGCAGTGCAGCAGCCTTTGTCATTTATATACTGTAATTTGTTTTGCACCCAAGTGACATTTACCGGTATTCCCAAGAGCTGCTTTGCGAGGGAAGACATTGAACGTGTTCTTAAAAGCAACTGGACATTACGCAATAATACCAGTAGTACTTCTTTCCTCTAGAGCATTCCAAAGTCATTCTTGCTGGACATAGTACGACAGGACCGACAGGTACATAGTAACTGTATAACATAGTGCGCAAGACTTGGGACTTATCAGAGGTGACACATATAAGCCTGGAATTACCCTGCTTGAGAACATTTTGGCAAGGACTTGAAAAGGTTCAGAAGTTCAGAAGCCAATTTCAAGCATGCGTTTAGTCTGTATTGTGATGCAGTGTTCTTCCCAACAGTTGGGGGAGAACATGGTGGGGGAACGCTTTTACCAGCAAGTTGCTGTACTTGGGTTTGGAGTGCCCAATTGCAGAAAGACGCTTTTTCTCCGATTTTTCTCCAAGAAAAGGACTTCGATTCTCAAGTGGCTCCAGCCCTGAATTTGGAATACCAAAGAAACACAAACACATTAAGAACAACTACTTTTGGTATTTGTTGGCTGCATTTGGCCTGCTTGTTGTTGATCCACATCTGGAGCCCCTGACTTGAGTCAGGTCAAGGTAGGCAGCAGGGACCTGAGTGCTATATACATTTTGAAGTTTGCAGTGTGCAGTATCAAATATGTTACTCTTTGTGGACCTGACATATTTGTAAGGCAGAAATCAACTTGGATTCATCCAACCTTGGTCTTCATCTTAGAGTCTCATGATTTTTGTGTCACGATATACAATTTTTCTCTCGAGATTCTGATTTGGCCCAGTTGAAAGCCACGCGGTACGTCGTGGAGCATAGATTGTTCTCCTTGTTGACGGCTCTCTTAACTGCCGGGGCCCAATATATCGACCATCAAGGGAGGGTCATTGTGGCTTGGGGGAACAAAGCGCTTGAGTTTGGCCTGCTTGCTTCTCAGATTTATGCTCTCACTGGCGATGATATGCGCCTTATATTTACACACCAGCCTGCAGATCCAGTCAGGACCTTTATTGAGTTGCGGTTCTTGTCCTGTGAGCACTGATCGATATTTGCCGGCAGCCGGCCAGCATCCCAAGGTGTTCGATGGATTGACACTGCTTTGCATCGTCGTCTTTGTTTTAGAGATCCTGCTGTGCATGTTCGCAAAGGACTGCCATCCGTGAACCCAAAGTGCCTATTTGCAATTTTTGTGCCGTGGTTTGCCACACCTTGCGCTCTGCAACACCTTTAGGACGACTACTTCCTTAGCTTTTTCTTCGTCCTTGACATTGTCTCCACGGTGACTTTGGTACAGCCCACTGTTTGATTTGCACCACTATGTCACTACAAACTCATCAAGTGTATTTGCAGGTCATTGACCTGACCTGGGTTAGCGATACCCTTCAAGGGAGTGAAGAGGAGACTCATTGTTTCGAGAATTTTAGCCATGCGTAGCGAGCACAGGAACTGCAGGTTGTACGCTGGACAGGACATGTCAAACGACCGTGTCTCTGGCACTGCCAAGATCGGGACCCGAACCTCCAGAGTAGTCCGAGTGCTGAGGCAGGCACCTTCCCAATTCAACATGAAAAGCCACAAGAAGCAACTTGTGCCCTCAGGCTAATTCGAATCATCAAGCTCTACAAGGCCATCTATGAAGCAAGACAGCTTCAAAAGAAGAAAGAGGCCGAAGCGCATGAAGCAAGAAAGTTGGATTTTGTGTCTGATGTGGCACTTCAATGACAGGCAGCTTTTGCCGAACGCTTGCAGGAGATGGCGAAGCAATCGGCCATGGAGACACAAATTTACCCCGGTAATGAAGACGACGAGGACTCCTATGACGACATGGAGGCTTGCAGTTTGCGTTGTGTAAAGTCAGCGGGCTTGGCATTGACTTATCATTACAGCCGCAATTGACACAAGTAGTTTTGGTCTTGAAAAGAGGGTATCCCGGTCCCAGTTTCTTGTTTTTGATGCCAATGAAAGTGAAACTGTTTCTCAATGGAGAATTGAACTTACAGCACGACATCCTTTTGTGACACCCTGAAGGTCCAGCAGGCAGGCTGCTGTTGTCGCCAACTTCTTCTCATCCAGCTGCTTTGCTTGCCTTGCTGGTTACATGCTCTTCACTGCATACTTGTTTGTCAGGCCAGCATGACGCGAGTCCCTGGCAAAGAAAGCCGGGCCTAGGGCTGAGGAAACTCAGTGACTTGAACAGGCAGATTGATCAATCAACTTGCCGATGAATCCAAGTGCCCGGTGTGTGTTCCCCGAGGTGGGGAAAAAGTTGTCTGAGAAGACGACTCGCCGGGTCATTCTGTTGGTGGTGGCCTTGGGTGAGTCAGTTCTTCTTGCCAGCCAGAGGTTGAGATGACAAGACTCTACTCCTTACATAGTTAGATCATGATCATGCACCTGCCTTGGAAGGTTTTGGTGATGATGTTGGTGCTCCCATACCTGAAGGCGTCCTAAATAGATGAAGAAATGACACTGAAACAAACAATTGATTACATGCCGTGTTGATCCACCGGAGGTTGAAGATGCGCAGCAATTCCCAACCTCAGCTGGGTATGGTGCAGACGTCATCAACGAGGTCTGGCAAACTCATTTTTTCAATTATCAAACCTTTGCTGTGGCATCGTTGGGCTCCAGGCGTTCAACCAATACTTGGAAAGCAACATTCTCAGCTAAATTCTTTCAGCAGATTTGCAAACATTTGGGCCTATATCTTCGGTAGACTCCTGAAGCTCTTCCTGAGGTAACACCACAGAGGACAAAGACAAGTACGACAAAGCGATGCTCCAGTGCTCAACAAAAAGATGTGGTTGCACAAAAAAGAGATTGCTTGGACATTTGCGGGTTGATATGCGTAGCCTCATTCCCACGACATTTGGCAGGTACATCTACTACCACAATTGGTTCACAAAGCAACTTCCGTGCGGACCTCGTTGAAGGTTCAAACTCAGTGGATGTCACAGCACCCTGGAACAGCTTATTCACTATATAACTGTCATGATCCACTCTTATAGGGTGTGGGCAGAGTCCAAGGGCAGAGAGTGTACCTTCGAGAGACCAATCCTTTTATGTATTTGATGCAGATGCCGATGACAACAGTTTGATTTGCGGTGACCTTGGCAGGACGGGATGTCCATTGACAGGCACGGACTGTTCTGCTACCTTCGACTCGCATGTCTTTTGGGCAGTCTCCTTAGATTTTGGACTGCCATTGACACAAAGTCAATGTGGCTTTTTTATTGCTGAACTGGTGATTTTTCAGGTCGGATTCGTGGGCAAGAATCAGTCGGTGCTGCTTGACCGGGCCTCCAAAGCTCGGGCACAGTCCTTGGTTTCCATTGTTTCTTCGAGTCCGGTTTGAAAGGACCGCGTTTGGGCGTCTTCGCTGGGGTTTACTTGAAAGAAATATGTGTCGTTGATATGACTGTAGAGTCTGTAGAGTAGGGGCAGCAATCATGCAAGGTGTCACATACATGACGGCACGGAAGCAGTGAACTTGAGGGCAGTCGAATTGGCAAGGTCGATCCGAATTCTGTGACAGATATGGAGACCTTGGTGACCAACACCATGCAACCTAGTACGGAGGGTGTCTCAGATTTCAGCCACTGCTTGTTTGGAAGTCAGAAGTTTTCACAGCGCAGGGAACCTAAACTGGGGCAGTTGCCATTGGCGCCAGGCCTGGATCTACATCTTTGGGCACATGCCATCGAAGGCGGCTATATAGATTGATGTGTTGGATAATAAGCCCCAGGGCCCAGTGTACTCAATCATCTTTGTTTTTCATTTCCTAAAAATCTAGGAACCAAACGATTAGTGCGAGAAGCGTGAGCTATCCTGCGTCCAGTGGCTAGTAACTAGTAGGAGTAGCTGGGAACGAACAAGTTTGCCCGTTACTCAATTAAGTAGGCGCCTACTTAATTAAATAAGGGCGGGCTTTCCATGTGTACAGCTCAGTGGACCAAACAGCTGTTCCGCTGGTTGCACTCTGGTACACGACCTGCACATCGTCCCGACAGGTGCAAACAATTCTCAGTCTCAGTGCTCTTCTCAAAGTCTAAGGGTTCGT